TCTTTCTTCTGTTGTTGGTCCATCTTCTTCTCGCAGAGTTTCTTGAATTCTCTTCTTTTCTGAATGTACGTCGCCTTTTCCCCTTTCCCTCTTCTCCATTTTCTCAGCTCTTTTCGCGTTTCTCTTTTTCTCTCTGTGCATTCTTTACCCCACCATTTCTTGTACCCTAGTTTCAATTCCATTACCTTTACCACTTTCTTGAGCACCGTCCTGTTGATCTTATGTACCATTTCTTCCATCATTTCGTTTGGATCCTCCTTTTCGAATTCAATTTGTTCCACTTCCTCCTGGTAGTGTCTCTTTCCTTCCTCCATCCAGAGCCGTCTCTTCTTCCATATCTCTTCTTCTTACTTCTCTACGCTGGTTTCTCCATAAATTTCTAATTTCAGTGGTAACTCTCTTCTATCCTGAAACTTCTGATATCTTCTTTAATTGCTGGGTCTATTAATACATAATCGATTACTGTGTTTCCTTTGCCCCCAATGAAAGTATATTCACCTTCTTCGTCTCCTTCAAAATTACCGTTCATAATTTCCCATTCGTTGTCTTCTACCATTTCTATTAGCCTGGTTCCTTCTATGTTTTTTATTTTATCTCTCGATTGTCTCGTTTCTTTATCCTTCCTATCCTCATTGCTAAATGATCCTTTTAAACCTATTCTTGCATTGAAATCCCCGCCGATTATAAGTCTTTCTTCATTCATACCTCCGATTGCATCTTCTATATTCTCTCTCGTCTTTTTCATATCTCTGCTATATACCGTGATTATTCTCCATATATTACCTTGTATCTCAATCTTACTTTCTTGTATGTCCGAATTTTCCTACTGTGTATCTCTTTCTATTATCCTTTTCTTCACTCCCGTTATGATACCTTCGCTCGCACTACCTTTGTTCTTCTCTTTTTTGCCAGTTGAAACTGTTCGGCAACCTGTTCTGTAACCCATTCCATTGTTTCTCGTCTACCCAAGTTTCAGTTAGTCCTACGAAATCGTATGTCTCCACGTATTCCCAAAATTGCTTATCTTTATTGTACAGACCTGCGACGTTCCAGAAACTTATCGATAATGTCTTATTCTTTACCTGCTGCTTGGCATGTACCTTCTGTTTTCTTTTCTCGTTCTTTTCATTGTTGTGATTTCCCTCTCCTCCCCTTTTCGCTCGGTGTCTCTCTCTGAAATTAGAGAGTCACCGAACTTTGTCGGTTCCAAAATTTTGCCTCTTCAAGTCCTACTCCCTCTTTCCATTTGAAAATCCTGTCGTTTATCCTTATCTTTCGGTATCCTATTTTCACGTGTGCTCCCTGCTCTCTCTCCGCTTTCGCAATTCCTAAGATTGCCTTCTGAGTTTCTCTTTCGTTTTTTGTTAAATCATTATCAATGTATATTTTCTTACCTTTCAATTTGCCCTTCTTCATCATTATCTCCTTTTTCTGGTGTCAGTTTCTTAACTTTGCTACCAAAATACCCCCTCTCTCTCCCTTTCTCGTCCAGAAAGCATCCTCTATTTCCACCTCCACCTGCAAATTTTCTGATATTACCTTTTCTGCCGTATCTTTCGGTGTTTCGCCTCTTGATAGTTCAGTGTGATATTGTTTCGTTTCTCCCTTTTTTCTCTTGCCTCCTCTTTTCGCTCTATACGGTTTATTCTTTCAATTAATTCGTCCGCCTTATCTCTTTTAGTTTCTAGATTTTTAATTCTCTTCTGTATTTCTTCTTTTTCTCGCTCCCACGCTTCTTGCTTTCTTTTCCATTCTTCTTTTAGTTCTCTTATTTCCTTATTTATGGATTCGTTTTCTTTCATAATATCTTGTGTGTCCTTCTTCACTGTCAGTACAAGCTCCGTCAATCTGTCTAACTTGTCCATTTTTATATCTTTAGGTTCGCCTTCTGTTCCTTCCCCTTCTATAGCTTTTTGCGGTGGTGATCTTCCTACTCTTCTTGCTGTTTGGAAATTTTCTATCAGTTCTTTCTCCACTCTTCTTCTTTCTTCCTCTGCTTCTTCTTCTTCTCTTTTTCTTTTAAAAGAGTCCAGCAGTGATCCTTGGCTGCCCGACCTATACTTCCCAAGCTGTTCAGCTAAAGTCGGCCTTCCTCTTTTTCCGGAATTCTTTGGGCTCTCCGTCTCTCCTGTCTTACTCATCTCTGTTTTTCTCTCTCTGTGTTCGGTTCTATGCCTATACTTCACTACGTGGCTGCGCCAGACTTGACGCGGCCACTCTGGTCTGTCTCTAGATGTCACTACCTTCGTTTTTCTTTATCTTATTAGTTTATCATCCAATCAATCTACATTTACCGACGTATCATTCCACGTCGTTTATTAATCTACAATATCGACTTTTTCCACGTAGCTCATTAGTCAATCTAACCTCTTACCTCTTTCGCCAGTTTTATTTCCTTTAAGTAACTTGTTTCTGTGTACCTTTTTGATGCCTTTATTTACCTGTGTTCTTTGGTTTTTTCTCTTTCCAGCGGTATTTATTGCACCTTTATCCGTTACGAATTTTCTTCGAAATTGATTGATTTTGTTTCACTTCTCTCCGACACGTACTGTCTCTATAGCTATCGTCACGTGACCCCTCCTATTTTTCTTATTTTTAATTGTATGATGATTTCTTCCTGGTGAGGTATGTGTATTTTTATTTTTTCCTTTTGTAAAAATTTTCTTGATTGACTGTCTATTGCTTTTCCTTCTTCATTTAGGAACACAATCACAATTCCTTTTTTCATCCAGAGGTGGTCACCTGTTTCTATTATCTTGGATGTGACTGGTAGGTTACTGATCACTCTTGGTTGTGTTACTTTGTGTGTGGTAAGTTGATTCTCTTCTTTTATAATTTTAATTGGGGTTATTGGTGCTGTTGATGTGCTTTCTGAATCATTTTTTCCTTCCTTTTTTAGCTCTGAAAGTCCTTCTTTGGTTCCTGAAAATGCCTTTTTTGTTTCTGAAGATGAGCCTATTTTGGGTGGCTCTCTACATATGTGTTTAGGTAGAGTTATTCCTTCTTCAAAATTTTCAAATTCTTCACCAATTATTATTGGTTCATGTTTTCTTTTGAGTGGTGTTTGATCGTTTTCGCCCCTTAACCGGGAAAGGGGTTAGAGAACGGATTCGGACGTAATTTTTTGCCGGTGCGCGACCTTGCCGAAGCGATGACTTCCAATTTGCGAAACGCGTATAGAAAAAGGTGCGAATTGTGACTACGAAGGATCTTTGATTCGAAGAATTGTATGAGAATAAAGTTTAATCAAAAGAAAAGTTTAACAGTTCTTGTTATCCGAAGCAGGTTGTTCGATTTCCGAAGAACTGGTACGCTAAGCCGTGTACGAAAAAGCATATTCGCAAGTATGCGGCGGCATATTTATATTATGGTTCCCTCGTCCCCGCCGTCGCCCGCCGGTCTAGCAGCCCAGTCGGCTCGCTACGTCGGCCAACGGAGCGAGTGAGATGGCTGGAGGCCGGCGGAACGAACAGCAGAGACGAAGGAAGCGCTCTAGTTTCTAGAAATTTCTAGTTTAATCGTTCGAAGCTCGAACATACCGCCCGCCTTCTTTGGATGGCAAAGAAGCACGCATGCATCAAACAAATCTATCCATAAAGCTAACCTTAATGTGAACAGTAAAGTTACGTGCATCAAACCGTTGGACACAGTGCTAGGTGCATAAAAATAAAAAGACTTACAACTAACATAATACAAAGGTAAGTAATTACACTACAATAAAGTAATTATAATAAGGAACATAATAAGTAACCACCAAATTTAAAGATACAAAGAACAGATATAAGTGATTGAATCGATTACGGCGGCAAACCGCCCGCCATGACCTATATAAGTGTTCCAACGCGTGAAACGGAAAATTTACGTGGAAGCAGATGAAGTGACGTCAGCAGAGGGCACCGGGAGGGGGCACAACTTGACGATTGGTCTGGTGACAGAACCGCTAGTAGTTTTCAAGGTGGCTACTCTTACTCGTCCATCTGGCCCTGGATGAAGGGTTTCAACCCGGCCCATCGGCCATTTTGCCGGTGGTTGCAACTCGTCGCGTAGTAACACTAGTGTCCCCAGCTTCAGGTTTTCCTTCTGCTGACGCCACTTGGGAAGTTGCTGAAGGTGTTGCAGATATTCCCGCCTCCACCTGTGCCAAAAGTGAGAACGTAATGCAGATATTTGTCGCCAGCGCGAAATAAGAGAAATATCACGCGAGTCGGATTCTGGATCCGGAACGATACAAGTGGGTTCACCGATTAAAAAGTGTCCGGGTGTTAATGCCGACAGGTCCGAGGGGTCGTCGGAAAGTGGATGTAGCGGTCGTGAATTTACGCAAGCTTCCACCTGGCACAGAAGCGTCGTCATCTCCTCGAAGGTAAGCGTGGCGTTTTCGACGATTCTTCGCAAGTGATGCTTAACCGTTCTAACTCCTGCCTCCCATAGGCCCCCGAAGTGCGGAGCATACGGAGAGATGAAGCTCCAATCCGTGCCTTCGGCTGCCAGCGAAGCTGCGGCGTCTAGATAGAAGGCGGAAGCGCCACGGAACATGTTGCGCAACTCCCGGTCCGCTCCGTGGAAGACGGTCCCATTATCGCTCAACATCGTGGCGCAGCGGCCTCGGCGACTGATGAACCTGCGAAAAGCGGCTAGGAATGAGGCAGAGGTAAGATCTGAGACAGCTTCCAGATGAATCGCGCGAGTACTAAGGCAAATGAACAGCGCTATATATCCCTTGTAGGATTTATGTCCTCTTCCTGGTGATGTTCGCAGTTTCACCGGTCCTGCATAGTCCACTCCCGTAGAAAGGAAGGGTCGGCGGGGAGTGATGCGCTCGAGCGGTAAGGGGCCCATCAACTGCGTGGTCGGCCTTCCACTGTAGCGAGCACATTTTACGCACCCCTTAATGACGTCTCGCACTAGAGAGCGGCCATGGATGATCCAGTAGCGTCGCGCCAGCAGGCTCCTGGTGAGTTGTGGTCCTCCGTGTAAAGTACGGAGATGGGCATCTCGCACCAAAAGAGTAGCCAACGGATTTTTCTTCCCGATGATGTAAGGGTGCCTCTCGTTGTAGGGAAGAGAGGCGGCCTCCGACGCGTAGCAGCCCTTGGTCATCCAAGAAGGGCCTCAAGGCGATGAGGGTCGAGGATCGCCGTACCTTTTTGTGCTGCCGGAGCTGGTCGACCTCTGCGTGGAAGTTGAACTTCTGAGCTAGGCCGATAGCGATCCGTAGAGCAGCGTCTCGCTCCGAAGCCCGGATAAACCCGGTTTCGGTCTTCAGCTTCCTTGTAAGTCGATGAAATCTAAAGCAGAGAGCAATAACGGCAGTTAGGCGTGTCAAGCTTGAAAACCTTGATAAGAGATCGTTCTCCTCGTTTTCTTTTGCTAGGTAGATTTGTACTCGGCCCCGCTCCAAGTCCGCCTGCTCGACCTTTCCTAGTGGTGATGCAGGCCACAGATCTGGGGGGTCGATGAGCTAGGAGGGTCCCCTCCACCAAAGCTGCGACGACAGGAGCTCCGACAGTGTTATCCCTCTTCTTGCCATTCCGCAGGGTTGTGTTTGGTAGCCACGTGTCTCCAATTTTGAGGCGGAACATTGGACTGCACGGTGGCTACTCTGTGGGTAACAAACGGCTTTCAGGTTGAGGCATGCCCTTGGATCCAGTGGAGGGTAACGCTGGAGTCCGTCCAAGCCGTGATGGTTGCTGGTACGTTCAATCCCTTTTGTACTTCCGCAATTAATTTGGAAAGTAGCACGGCGCCGCATAATTCCAGACGTGGTATGCTAACTGCTTTGACCGGAGCGACCTTAGTTTTTGCCACAAGCAGTGTGGCCACGCTGACTTCTCCCCTGGACACTCGCAGGTAGACGACGGCTGCATAGGCTCGCTGGGAGGCATCGCAGAACCCGTGCAGATCCAGTTGCGCCGAGTTTGCTGAGTAGTTCGTCCAGCGAGGAATGGCCAAAGTGTCGAGTTGGCTCAGCGTCTTCCGGAAGGTTTTCCATGCGGAAAGCAGTTGCTCAGGTAAGTCCTCATCCCATTCTGCGCCAATTATCTAGAGGTCCTGCATGAGAATCTTTGCGAAAATTAAAACAGGGGCCGCCCATCCCAAGGGGTCGAAGAGACTGGCTACTTCCGAGAGGATACGCCTTTTAGTGTATCGCGTGGGCTCTTTGAGGGGTGGAAGGACACGTAAGGAGAAGGTATCAGTGGTTGACCTCCAGACGACTCCCAAGGTACTGACTCCAGTGTGGTCCTGGAACACGCAGGCTTGACTTTCTTCCGCTTCCTGCAAGCTCGGCTTATTCGATGCCCATTTACTCAGATCGAAGCCTCCCGATTGCAGGATGGAGATGACCTGTCGTCGTAATTCCAGAGCTGCTTCCTCGTCGTCGGCTCCGGCAAGGATGTCATCTACATACGAATGCCGACAAATTGCGACCGCTCCCAGCGGAAAACGCTCCTCTTCGTCTGCAGCTAATTGGACCAACACCCGCAGCGCAAGGAAGGGCGCGCAGGCTGTGCCATAGGTGACGGTCTTGAGCCTGAAGTCCTGTACAGGTTCATCGGGTCTGGAGCGCCAAAGTATCCTGGTCCAGTCCACGTCCGCCGGGTCTACTCGAATCTGCCGAAACATTTTAACAATATCCGAGGTAAATACTACTCGAAATAGGCACCATCGTGTTAGAATCATCCAGAGGTCTGACTGCAGTTTCGGTCCAGGCAGCAGACAGTCGTTGAGAGAGGATCCCGCGGCGGTGCGAAAGGAGGCATTGAAGACGACCCTGATTTTGCCGGTAGGGTCGTATCGCTTCGCCACAGCATGGTGCGGTAGATAGTAGGCTGCATCCTGAACCGCAGATTCCGGTAGCGCCTGCATGTGACCCAAGGCTGCGTACTCGTCTATGAACTGCGAGTACTTGTCTCGCCAGGCTTCGTTGGACGCCAACTTGCGCTCACAGCTAAGCAGCAGCTTTAGCGCCGTCGATCTGCTGGGCTTCAGGGCGAGGCTTGGATCCAATTTGAAAGGTAGGTGCACCGAGTAGCGGCCTGTTTCGTCCCGATAGTGCGTCTCTCGAAAGTGCCGCTCACATTCTCGGTCCTCCGGTGATAACGGGGGCTGTAGCTCTTCGAGCTCCCAAAAGCGTCGAAGCAGCCGATTCGTTGAGTCGTCCGTTTGGCAATGAAGGCTGTGGACGACTGCCTTGCTGCTAGGTCCTTTGGCATCAGAGACAGAGCCCATCAACACCCACCCAAGAGGCGTGCGCCGCGCCGTTGGGGTACCAATCGGTCCAACCCTCCACTCGTCCTGTAACAAAACTCCACAAATATCAGCTCCTAGGATCAAGTCAACACGGGAGGGTACTCCATATTCAGGATCGGTGAGAATCACTCCTTGAAGGTGCGGCCAAGACTGTGATTGCACTGCTCGAGCGGGGAGCAACGCAGTCAGTTTCCGCAGCACCAACGCACGAACCGACAAATGAAAGCTGGGGTCCAGACGAGAGCGTAAAGAAAAAGAAACCTCGCTTTTCGCCAGTCCACTCTCATTCTCCTGTACTCCTGAGATGGCGACGCTGACCGCCCGCCGTGGCAAACGGAGTGCTTGAGCTACCCAACCAGATACCAGCGACGTGTCCGAACCGGTGTCTAGCGGGGCTCTGACCTCTAGGTGTTCCCCTGATGGTGCCTCCACCCTCACCTTGGCCGTTGCTAAAAGTGCGGCGGGTCGAGTGGTAGCTGAACAGGCGAAGGAGGCAGCCACGTTTTTTTCTTCGGTGTCGGATCAATATCAGTAGTACTACATCTACACTCTACATAATGTAATATACTGATCCGCTCCCACAGATCAATGTACATTTAATAACAATATCATTATTACTATATCTACATTCCATATAATGTAATATACTGATTCCTTCCCACAGATCAATGTGCGTTTAATAACAATATCATTGTTACTATATCTACATTAGATATGTAACATACAATTAATACCAATGTCATTATTGGTATATCTACGGGGATATAGTGTAATATACTGATTCCATCACACAGATCAATGTACATTTAATAACAAAATCGTTATTACCATATCTACATTAGATATAATGTAATATACTGATTCCTTCCCTCCGATCAATGTACACTTAATTACAATGTCATTCGTACTATGTCTGCATTAGATATGTAATGTTCATTTAATAACAATGTCCTTATTACTATATCTACATTAGATATGTAATGTACATTTAATAATAATATCATTAGTACTATATCTACATTCGATATAATGAAATATAATGATTCACTCCCACAGATCAATGTACATTTAATAACAATATCATTAGTACTATATCTACATTAGATATAATGTCATATAGTGATACATTCCACCAGATCAATGTACCTACATTTAATACCAATGTCATTATTACCATATCTACACTAGATATATCGTAACATACTGATTCCTTCCCAAAGATCAATGTACATTTAATAACAATATCATTAGTACCATGTCTACATTCGATATAATGTAATATACTGATTCATTCCCACAGATCAATGTACATTTAATAACAATATCCTTAGTACTACATCTATATTAGATATGTAATATACACTTAATAACTATGTCATTATTACTATATCTACGGTGGACATAATGTAATATACTGATTCCTTCCCACCGATCAATGTACATTTAATAACAATATCATTAGTACTATATCTACATTAGATATAACGTCATATAGTGATTCATTCCAACAGAGGTAGGGTAAATTCTAAGAACAGCATATTTAAAAAGACGAAGAGCTGCTGCGTGTAAACGAAAATAAAAATGAATTTAACTCATTGAAGTTTCGCACTTCGAATATAAACGCAAGATAAATGTATAGTTTTATCATTTCACAGTTCGTTAACACATCGCAGTTACGCAGTTAATGCATCAGTTAATTATTACGCAAAGGACTGCATCAAACATTCGAATCTCGTGAAATATATCAGTATATTGATTATGGTTGCAATTTGCAAAAGACAATATAAATGAGTTTTATTCGCAGAAGTTTTGCATTTAAAATATAGATGCAAAGGTTGTTGATCGAGGAACAAAAAATCGTATTAGTCGTTGCACCATTTGTCTTGTCTCGGAAATGAGGTTTTTAGTGAACCGGATATACCAAATCAGCTCGTTCTCTCCGAGAGTGATGATAAAATTCTATTAGTTCTGGAAATCATTTTATTTATAATGTGCGTATATTTTGTAGTCAAATCCAAGGTTGAAAGCATCGCCTGCGCATAGAAACAGGTCGTAATCCCAGCTTCCCCACTAAGCATTTTATTTTCTCGTTCTTACACTTTTTTTGCTGCTGCTTGTTTCCTTTCTCTTTTCCTCCCGTTCTTGCTTTCTCTCTTTCCTACTTCCTTCTTTCTTAGTTCCGTCTTTCCTTACTTCGTTCGTTCCTTCAGTCCATCCTTCTTCCTCTCTGCCGCTCTTTGTTTCTGTTCTTCTTTCTTTATGCCTGGAGGTTGAGCGTCATAAGAAGTATCGGATCAGCATTACACGTGAATTGGTGCAGGTTCTATGCGAACGGCCACTCGGTTGTTGAACTTGTAGATGTGGTATTCACCCCATCTCTATTCTTCTCCCTGTTTTCCTTATTTCCTTTCTTTCTTTCCTCTGTAGTTTTTATGATTTCAATAGGAAACGCCTCCATCTCGCACGGTTTCGAACTCCGTAAAGAGGCAGTTTATTCGGAACCACGAAACAGTGAACATGCCGAAATATAAAAATATTCGAGGTATGTTGCGTGCTATTGACGAAGCGGGACGAAATTATTCTTTACCTCGTAAGAGTTGTCGTGATTTGGTGCTGAACAATGGAAGACGATTACACCTCAAAGAAATTCCTGATAGACGAGATTTTGCGCGACTAGATTATCAATTCGGAGAGCAGGAAATCGTGATGCAGCTTACTACAAGACGTAACGGAGCAGGTCGACCTCGAGTGCATTGGCAGAAAGAAGAAAAAGATATAGCTCTCGCAAGAGCTTATCCACTGATGGGATTACGGAGCATCGCGAGAAGAGTAGGAATCTCGCACATGACAGTGCGGCGTATAATACGCGAAGAAGGTCTGCGACCATATAAAATTCGACGTGTCCAAGCCCTACGCCCTAATGGTTATGCCACACGGCGAGAATTTTGTAACTGGATGTTACATAAACTGCGACACGATCCACGCTTTTTGGAACGTGTCCTATTCTCGGATGAGAGCAGCTTCTCGAATAGCAACATCTTCAATCGGCAGAATGCGTGGATTTGGGAGTACCGCAACCGCCATGCGATGATGGAGCAATTTAATCAAAGAAGATTCACCGCTAATGTCTGGGCAGGCATAATTGGCAACCATATTATCGGCCCGATCTATTTGCCGACACGGTTAACCAGTGCAACATATCTTCAATTTCTAAGATCGAAACTCTTGAGTGAACTGCGGCACATCATCCCGCAAAGTCAACGTAATTCAACCTATTTTATGCACGATGGTGCTCCACCGCACTCCAGCCGAATGGTGCAACAGTTTCTAAATCAAATGTGGGAAGGAATCAGCATATTACATTATGCCTAACGTAGATATAGTAATACTGACATTGTTATTAAATGTATGTTACATATCTAATGTAGATATAGTTATAATAATATTATTATTAAACGTACATTGATCTGTGGGAAGGAATCAGTATATTACATTATATCTGATGTAGATATGGTAATAATGATATTGTTATTAAATGTACATTACATATCTGAGGTAGATATAGTACTAATGATATTGTTATTAAATGTACATTGATCTGTGGGAATGGATCTGTATATTACATTATATCTAATGTAGATATGGTAATAATGATATGGTTATTAAATGTACATTGATCTGTGGGAAGGAATCAGTATATTGCATTATCTCTAACGTAGATTTGGTAATAATGATATTGTTCTTAAATGTACATTACATATCTAATGTAGATATAGTAATAATGATATTGTTATTAAATGTACATTGATCTGTATGAAGGAATCAGTATGTTACATTATATCTGATGTAGATATGGTAAAAATGATATTGTTATTAAATGTACATTACATATCTAAGGTAGATATAGTACCAATGATATTGTTATTAAATGTACATTGATCTGTGAGAAGTAATCAGTATATTACATTATACCTAATGTAGATATCGTAATAATGACATTGATATTAAATGTAGGTACATTGATCTGTTGGAATGTATATGTATATATATATATATATAGTGGATAGTGCTCATAAGGTGACTGGAGTAGCAAGCCTGGCTGAAGTGGACGCAGCAGTGTCTAGAATTGATCTGGAGGATTCTAATGCAATAATGGATTTGTTTGAGAACAGTACAGGGTGTAAAAAAATTATATGTCACGAACCATGTGGGGTGATTCTACACCTCTAGATCGGTGGACATCTTTCAATGAAAGCGACCGCAAAATTGACCTTGACCCCTAATTTCAAGGTCAAATTTTTTTATTGGCTTATCGTATAGTGCTCATCGAGGGGATAAAAAGTCTGAAAGGAACCATGTGCCGGAAATCAACCCTTCCCCTAGAAAAAAGCCGTCAAATTTTCCCTATACGTTAATGCATTAAACGTTGAGTCGCGCGGTACCCCTTTCCAGTGATCTTGGCGCATCAGTCTCGCGTATCGCTCGAATTTCATGCTATAGAACAATTCTTGAATTTCAATCACAAAGCCAGCATATAGGAAGGGTAAATTCTAAGAGAGCATATTTAAAAAGACAAAAGAGCTACTGCGTATAAAAGAAAATAAAAATGAATTTAATTCACTGAAGTTTTGCACTTCGAATATAAACGCATATCTTACGAGCTAAAATCATTTCGTCCCGCTTCGTCAATAGCACACCCGTCCGTCAACAGATAATTAAATTATTTTAATTAAATTATTTTATCACATTTATTACCTTATTATATTTATTATTATATTACATATTATTTTTTATATTATTATCTTGTATCACATATTATTATTTTTGATGATCCACCAAAAACAATAGTTCGTCGCAGCGCACCATTTGGATTCGTCGGAACTCTCACAATCAGTCGAACACTATTCGGAACGCTTGATATGGATGATGCATAGTATTTTGATTCGCAAATAGATAATTTATACATGTGTAACGACCCGCTAAGAAGACCCAGTACTTTTTCATTTCACCTTTTTTATTATTATAATTTATTTTTAGTTCAAATTTTGTACAAAATGGTTAATTTAATTTTTTATATTTAGTTGAGTTTATAAAAAAAAAGTATTTAGTTTAATTTGTATTATATTATATTTCTTGTAATAAATAATTTTCATTAATCGATAACATAGTCTGATTGAATAAGTCGATAAGCGATTAGTCGGTAAGTCGTTCGGTAAGTTGATTATCGATAAATGATCGACAAACGAATGCATACGCGCCAGCGCAACCCCGATGATCTCGCGGTGGGGTGAGATTCTAGAGTAGGGTGATCGCGTAGACTAAGGAGCAGGGGTGCTCGGCCGTCACGTGATGGGGAATTCCAGAAATTCAGAGGAACCCTATAATAAAAAAAGCGCTAAGTCAGCAGAATCTGACTATAAATAGAGGCGTTCCACGCAGAGTCAGATCAGATCTTCCCTGGCTTCGGTCAGATGCAGACAATACTCTGGAAGTAGAGGAAAAGCTTGCGCTGAATTGCTTAGGCAACTATAGAGCGCGAGATTAGCTCTATCCTTCTCTTTCAGTGGTGACGTACGAGAGTTCGGATTTGTGGACACCCTACTCATGGTACGCAACGTGTTGAACACGTGCTAATACTAAGCCACACGTTCAAGTGTAAAGAGCTAGCGAGGAGCGGAGCTCCTTGAGCAGGCCTGTATTAGCATAGCTCTGGCTAGACCAGAAACCGATTGCGACCTGTAGGTATAGTCCGCTCGTGTCCGAAGGTATCATACAAGCTACTAGAATATAGTTTTCCAGTACTTAGTGTAACTTGGCAAATTGTACAGAGTATTGGCTGTATTCGAAGATCAAGTCGCGTTATTACTTACTAACCACTAATCACATATTTTCCACTGTATTTCATTATCTAGGGCGTACCTATTATAATTTCTTATTGTATTTCATATTATAGCCGTACCTATTGTTATACTTAATATTATACTTAGAGCAATTATAGTTAATTTACTTACTTGAATAAAAGATAATTTTAGTTTGATACATTAATGTTGGATTTCACTCCTTAACCGCACACCACACGAACCTATAATCCCTATTCTCATTCATACGAGTCGCCTTCTTGAGGAACCGCTCTCCCTATACGTCGGTGCAGTGACGTACCTATCACTGGGTCGTTACAATAGGTTGACGACGCCCAAGTTAGGATCTTCCTAGTAGAGGAAACGTTTTTAATTTTGCGCCGCCTCCGAAAACTTTGAAATGTATTTGGTATCCTATTTAACAATTAAGTAGATATTATTAATAGCTATGGAATATTGGTATAAATGAAATAGAAATTATTTTACACTTTTTAGTACATTTCGAAGTCGGATTTGTTTTATGTTAAAAGTTATTTTATTTCCTTTTATTTGGAGTAACGTTTGTTGGTATTTGACAGCGGCGAAATCTGTTAGCGGGACATAGTCCCTCACACAGATCTTTCCTCCGTTTCATTTATACAACAATTTATAAACGATTGGGTTAACACTCTTACAATCACACGCTCAAGACGTGGAAATATTCCTGTGGGTCACTGCCTCCTTGGATTATATTTTTACATGATTTTTAATCTTATTTGAAGGATTGTAAATAATTTGCCGAACCACGTATCCACAATTATTTTTACAACTGCCAAGAATAAGAGACGTGAGCGAGTCGAATCTAAGGGATTCCCTCTACCGACTTGTTTTATAAAGCATTAACTCTAAATTCAAACTGCGCCGTTATTTACATCCGTCTTATATGCGAGCTGTAATATTGTTTTTCGAAAATCACGCGCCATTCGACCTCACGATACCGTTACATGTTTACTGGCAGTTTTGTTGTGTTTCATGATTGTATGTTCGGAATGTACGTTTTTTATATGAATCAAATTTCGACAATTTATATATAGAAATTTCTTGTCAATAATTGATCATAATAATTACAAGTGACTGATCCATTTCTGCTCTCATTCACAGAATAAATTGTGCGATATTTTCATTTTCTAAATACGTTTAATTTTCTTGCTAACGTCCCATTTTCCACCTTTGATAATTTCCCGAACTCAAACTCACTCCTTGAGAATTGTAAAGGCTTGGAATGAGTTAAATGCACTTTGACGACTTGAAGCACAATGGGCCGATGGTTCACGGCTAGACAAGGACTTGGACGTCGAGGCGGAATTAAGCGATCAAGCGTAATTGTTAAATTCGTGTATTTAAATAAAATCACTTGACAAGCGCGTCAATTCTTTAATTGTTTATGACAAAAACACAATGTGGAAATCACTTTCCAGTGGTAAAGCGGCGTGGGTTTCTCGGAACACGAACACGAGAATCTTTAATTTAACGATGGTAACGGTTTTTTAAATTCACAACAGGATCGGTTTAGATGTTTACTTTTGGATGGCTTTCGCATGAATAACGAAAATTGTCGGGAGCGATCCAAAGTCGAAATAGCGGCGCGAGTATCGCTTATCGACCTGGTGCGTGATTAGGCTTCGATAATTCGAACTAGCGCCGAGACTTTTACCGACGGAGTGAGACGCGTACACGCCGCCCCCCGTTGAATGAATTCATTCAACAAGAGACGCCACTACGGCAACATGGAGGTTACGCGTGTGTACCGTAACCACGGAATTTCGTGTGATTGCATTTCGCTTGTGTGGTTACATTTCGCTGGTGTGATTACATTTCGCTGGACGAAGCCGGTGGTATGTACAATTCAGATACGACTAAACAAATCGGCGGTTTCAAGAAAATGGCATGACGCAATTGATCGACGGAATGTGTGGAGGACGAACTACAGATTACTCTGTGACGTCGTAGATTTCTCAGTTTCAGCGTTGATCGTGACGGGAAGAAAGCAGATCTTCGTTATTGGACGGGTGTATTCGGACTGCGCAGTTTTGATGGTGACGACGCGGACAAGACCGTCGTTCCCTGGATGGCAGGCGGTGATGCGTACCATCTCCCATCGACTTGGCGGCAGAGTCGGGTTACGAAGTAACACGAGTTGACCTACTTTGGTGAGGTTTTGTTTAATTTGCCATTTTGGTCGTTGATGCAGAGTGTGCAAATAATCGTGGCTCCACGCTTTCCAAAAGGTTTCGGTGAGCTTTTGTGAAAGTTGCCAGTGAGATAGCCGATTGTCTTTTACATCTAATATACTCGGTTCGGGCGGAGTTACAAGTGGTGCATTGATTAAAAAATGACCGGGTGTTAACGCGTGATAATCGTCAATATTGTCGGAGACGGTTCCAAGCGGTCGCGAATTGAAGCATGCTTCGACCCGACATAGAAAGGTAGTCATTTCTTCGAACGTGAGTGTGTGTACGCCAGGCATGGGCACGAAACCGGCTCAAAGAGTGCGTCTGACAGCGACACTGTTTGGGAGCACACGTCACTCTACTGATTCGCTCTTTCGAAGTGGTGGGGCAGCATTGTAGGGGAAATCCAGCTGCGGCGGTGAGGTGATACGAATGTGTGGCGTTCGACAGAGAACGTCACACATACATGCTTCGACTGCGTAACCTCGAGATGCTATGGAATGGGGATATTTCTCCGCTGCTTGGTTCGGTTCACGCTCTGCTTTGAGCTCGTCGACAAGCTCCGGAGCGCCGGAGAGCGCTCCGGCTCCATTTACTACTAGCTGCCCATGCCTGGTGTACGCCGATAGTACGCTTTAGATGGTATTTGACGCTTTTAACCGCGGCTTCCCACAATCCGCCGAAGTGGGGAGCGTTCGGGGGCATGAAGTGCCATTCGACTCCGTCTGTTGCTAATCTATTACCGAAATCGGCGGTTTTAAGTGCAGAACGAAAGGCGGTTAACAATTCGCGATTCGCTCCCTGGAATGTTGTCCCGTTATCGGAGTACATTGCGCTTGGAATCCCGCGGCAAGACACAAATCGGTGATAAACAGCTAAGAAAGCGGACGAACTATAATCGCTTACTAATTCGAGGTGCGTTGCTTTAACAGTTAAACAGATAAATACCGCGATGTACGCCTTATGTGATTTATGTCCGCGGCCAGAATTGGTTCTTACTTGAATCGGACCTGCATAATCCACGCCTGTATGAGTGAATGGTCGTGCTACCCTTGTAACTCGAGGTGCTGGTAAGTCCCCCATGAGCTCGGAGGGAACGTCGGCTCTCGTGTGTGCACGCGACGCATTTATATAAAATGCCTCGAATGGTAGCTCGTGCTCGGACGATCCAAAAATCATTTCGTAGGTAGGCGAGCGTGAGCTTGGGTCCCGCGTGTAATAGATTACGGTGCGCATTCTCAATTAATAATGTTAGGAGCGGGTGTGATTGAAGGATAATGGGTGTTTTTGCATTTTCAGCGAGTTGAGATTTAGCAAGGCGCCCTTTTGCACGTATTAAACCGTCAGCATCCAGGTACGGTACGAGAGAAAGTAGAGGACTTGTCCTCGGGATCGGCTTGGATGCTCATAGGGCTCTCAATTCCTCCGGGAACGCGTCGGTTTGGAGCCTACGTAGCCAAAATACGCGAGCTTTGTGAATCGCGGTGGGTTTCAGAACGTTTGGCGAAGCAGAAGCTACCGTTTTCGATTCGGTGAGTTTACTTTCCTGTTTTCTTTTGATTCGTGCGCGGAGGATGTCTATGTAATGCAGTAAATGTGCGCTGATCCTCAGGAGTTTTGACCATGACGAATAGCGCGCTGCTAAATCCCACTGTTCGAAAGAGGTAGTGAGGCTAGGAAGAGAAGATTGTCTTTCTTCGAGCGAGATCGCAGGAATCGGGTTAGGAGACGCATGAAGCCAAGAGGATTCCTGGTGCAGCCACTGAGGACCGGATCACCATAATTGGTAATCCTTTAATTGTTTAATAGACACCCCGCGAGACGCGCAGTCGGCGGGATTTTCGTGAGTTGATACGTAATGCCACTGTGCGTTAGGACTAAGTTCGTGAATAAGTGCTACGCGGTTTGCGACAAAGGTTTTCCATCGAGTCGGTGGTTGATTTACCCACTCTAATGTGACACTGGAGTCGGTCCAACAATGGGATTCGATCATTTCCTAATTTAACGCGGTTCGAACGAATTTTAAGAGGCGAGCCAGAAGCAACGCGGCGCATAATTCTAATCGGGGCACGCTGATCGTTTTGAGTGGAGCTACGCGAGTTTTGGCAAGGATGAGTAATATGCTAACGGTACCGTCACACAAAACACTTCGCGAGTAAACAGCAGCCGCGTATGTTTTCGTTGCGGCATTAGAAAACCCATGCAGGCTTTGAGTTTTAATGATTTGCGGAGAAATTTTTCGTGGGATGGAAATGTGTTCCAAATCAGGCAGTTGATCGTAAAAATTATGCCACTTCGAGAGAAGGGAACTTGGAAGGACGTCGTCCCAATCACATCGACTGGACCACAAAGTCTGAAGGTATATTTTTGCTACAATGATGACTGGCGCGATCCAACTTAAGGGATCGAAGAGCTTTGCTATGGTAGAAAGAATTGTTCGTTTTGTCTTAGGCAATTCGGTGGGTACTGCTAATTTAAAGTGAAACTGGTCTAATGCTGGATTCCATGTAATGCCGAACACGGAAATGATTTCGTCGGCTTTTAATGATTTACTCGTCGCGAGTCCGTGGTTTTGAGGGTTGATGTCGGACAGGAGCGCGGAGCTATTGCTAGCCCATTTTCTTAACGAGAAGCCGCCTTTTCCTAATAGTTCAACGGTTTGGTCTCGCAATTGGCGAGCGGACTCGAGGCTATCGCCTCCAAAGAGGAAGTCATCGACATAGGCTTGTTCGCGAAGAACGGAAACCGCCTCGGGATAGGGCGAGCCCTCATCCTCGGCTAATTGTTGCAAGACGCGAAGAGCCAAATACGGAGCTGGAGCGGTCCCATATGTGACCGTGAGGAGTTGATACTCTTCGACTGGTAGGAGGGGCGAATCCCGCCACAGTATTCTTTGGTAGTCGAGATCTCGCGGGTCAATAAGAATTTTCTCAACATCCGCTGTGTACGCGAATTGAAATTGACGCCATCTAATCAAGATCGCGACAAGATTGTGCTGGAGTTTTGGTCCGGTTAGAAGAAGGTCGTTTAAGGACTTTCCATTCGACGATCGGCGCGTAGCATTAAAGACCACGCGAAGGCGAGTAGTTTCACTGCTCTCGCGGAAGACGGCATGATGCGGTATGTAATAACAATCTCTCGTGATTGGAGGAAGAAGATCGGCTTTCTTCATGTGACCGAAAGAATATTCTGAAAGGAATTCGCGATACATTCGAAATGTGGCTGTGTCGCGAGATAACCGTCTTTCAAGCGCGCAGAAACTTTGTAGTGCTCCGGGCCACGATTCTCCTAATTTAGCTGGAGGTTCGGTTTTGAAAGGCAATCGAACTATATAGCGTCCGTTTGATGCGCGGTAGTGCGTCGCACAGTGGGACAAAACGGCTTTCGGCGATCAAAAGTCGATTTTCGTGAATTCGAAAATTGAAAAACTAATTACATACATCGATAGAGAATAAACTGTAGTTTAACGTAGTGTAATCCGTTTTTTCATATTTCTTTCCGTTTTGCCGTGGTTCGCACTCAAAGTTAGTAGAAATTCGTCAAGACGAAACGCTGATAATATTACCCATACCTTTTTTCCATAAAAAAAATATATTGCATTTTTTCATTCCTAATAATTTTTAATGTATATTCGCCGATTACTCCGAGACGGATGGACCAATTGGAACGAAACCTTTTGCATCTTCTAAAGTATGTCTCCCGATTGGTTCCGTTTAAAAAACATTTTGTATTTTTTCATTCCTGCCAATTTTTATTTCAAGAAAACGTACGGCTTCATTTATATTTTTTTCTTTCGGCGTTTACTCTACAGGGAATATACCGATTGTGATTTTTCAACATTATCCGTGAAATGAAATGAAATGAAAAAGAAAAAAATAGACTTCGTCATTTTCTCTACTCGCTAAAAGAAGGGTTGGCTTCCTTCTTCAGGTATCAGTCGCTGGAAGCTAATTTGGACTGTTTCTTTGCAAAAGTAACCGTCGTAATCTTTGCATTTCTGCGAGTGCACTTTCATCATACGGTTTAACGAGGACTTTGTTTGGTGCCAAATCAGAGCTAAACCATCTAAACTTTTGACACGACTAAGAGCGACGTAAATTTGGCCTTTTGCAAAATTCTTTTTGCCAAGATCAATTACAGCTTTGTTTAATGTAGTCCCTTGTAATTTATGCACCGTTACTGCCCAACTTAGAATAAGTGGTAACATTCTGCGCTCGACGTCCCCATAACCTTTCGTCGCCTGAAACGTTGCTACAACTGGAGATATTGGGATGTAACCGTCGATATCGTTAAATCTATTTCCAATGGACTCGTCGTCAAATTTTATAAGTACCGTGTCCGGCAAGTCTCCCTGTTCTAGTTGATCTCTTCGAAGTGCCGGCCATGTAAATTTCTTCACTATTCCCATTGCGCCGTTTATCAAACCATCAGAAATTGATATATTTCGTCGCAGCATGATTCGCGATCCTTCAGTTAACGTTATTGTATGTAACAGTCCGCCACAATTATTTACATTTGCAGGTATGACATTTTCTGGTGGCCTTTTTCCATATGTAGCTGCCTCACGGGATTCGTCTATTGCATCAATGACGTACATTCGATGTGATTTTGCTAATTCATCAGTTATTTTTGAATTATATTCATCCACTAATTTTATCGTTGGGAATATTCTTACTGCTGCACCATCCTCGAACTCTCCGGTTAAAGGAACTCTTCTTCGTTCGCATAATATTTCCAGTTGAGAAGTTGTCACTTCCCCAAACCGAAGGTTATTCAATAAATCGATATATTCAACGTCATCTCTTTGTCGCATATTAATGGTGAGTTCGCAGAATGAAAATTGATGCCGTAATTAATTTCTGCAGTACACCAATGTGGCTGTACAAAACACCAGTGTCCTTTTACTGGGGGCAACTGCATGATCGCCAAAGAGAAGTACATTTACGCCACCAAATAGTTTATCATTTGTTTTGAATTCTTGCAATTTTAAATGAATTATTCGCAAATTCTCATAAGATACCATTGATATCTCGTCGATAATCAACCACCTTGTATGACGCCACTATCGTCTCTCCTGTTCGAGCCTCTGTCCTGTCAGTCGTCGATACGTCATTGCAATACCTTTTTCAATAGGCAACGAGAACAAGGAATGCAGAGTTTTTCCGAATATTTGACGGGCAGCGACGCCAGTCAAAGAAGCTACTTCAATGAAAGATGATTTTATCATCGTATCAACTGTAGGATTATAGCAGCGTTTAACGTGTTCAACAAGTAATTTTAAAATAAACGACTTGCCACTACCAGCTCCTCCGGTAATAAAAAGCAATATTTGTTCCGTATTTTCATCATTTTTTTTAATATCTTTCTCAATTACTGCGGAAACTGATTTTAATAAGTCTTTCTGTTCAATATTAAGACTTAGAATACTATTAAGGAACACGTCTTCTGGCATTGCAATTGTTTCTTGCTGTTGATCTTCATATAAATCACCTTGATCATAATATATTGTTTCGTCGGCATGAATTCCGACTGGATCTCTTAAATGTTCATTAGTTTCTTCTTCATGTACAACATTCAAAGCAACAGCCTGGGCGAGCGCCGCTTCAATAATTTGCTGTGCGTGAGTAAATTGTTCGACGGTTGCGTTATCCAACATAGGTTTCAACTCGTGTTGCCGTCGAAGAAAACATTGTTCTGAAGATTCGTTTTCGGACATAAGTGTACTTTCATCACGAAATGGAATGTGACACACTATTAAGTTATAGAAGTATCCTTCTCTATCACTGTTCAGGGTATAATATCGGTGGCGGAGTATAGCTGGTTTATTTCTTATTCGCATTCGGGTATTGTCCTTCAATTTTATAAACTTCGATCTCGAAATTTCTTCATCGTCAGTTCTAAGTTCTGCGTCGTCATCTTCTTCTGTCCATATTTCACTTGAAACTGTTTCATATCGGACAGCAAATTCGGCTAAACTCCAGTTTTCTAGGTTGTCTGGCCTCTTTACGTAACGATCGAATATGTTATTGAAAAATGATGTTCCATTTTCTTCAAATCGCAGAATTCTATATCTCTGCTCAGGCCGACAGCTGTTTATAAATACAGCTTTTCGCGAGCTCATTTTAAGAGGCAGATGGCATAATCGATAAGCACATTCTATGGCATTGACCATACGTTGAGATAGAATTGCCATAGATACCGAAAATAATTGATTTCGGATGGTATCGTTCCGGCGTTTCGCTCGTAAAACGGCTTCTTTAATAATATTCCCTGTGTCCTGCGGCTCGCATTTACTTGCGTATTTAGCAATATAATATGCGACGGCTGTAACATTTCCGCATGGTTGAATATCCATGTTTGCTTCCCAAAGCTTTAAAATATTTGGGTTGTAATTATTTACCATAACTTCATTTGCGGTTCTCTTAAGTACGCAGAAACGCCTGTTGTTGGCAAGTGTGTCATCTGGGCCTAAGCACATCGTTCTTTCACTTATCGGTCTGGGGAATCCAAATCGACAAGAACGATTATTACGATCTTTGTAACATGTATGAGAATGTTTATGAATTTGGACTTTTTGAACTATATCGTTCATATCGTGATTTTCGACTTCCAATGAACAAGATACAATTTTCTCAATAACGTTTTGGCCTTCGTTGGTTAGGAAATCAGGTACGTTTGCACACCAAATAAGCATGTGCAAATGTGGACTTCCTCTATTTTGAAATTCAATTCTATACCAAAAATCGGTAACAACGCCTGTACGGTCGAAACTGTTCCACATGAACACTTCCGAACTATTCGATAATAGATAATCTCTTTTTTTTCTTTTAAAATTTATTTGAAGCTTCCGATGCACGATGATCTCTTATCTGTGGCTTGAAAAGGAATGACGATCGTCTCGCCCTCAGCTCTTCGAAGGCGGTTACCCTTCGGCTTCGAACCTCGAGTTTTCTAAACACTCGAAAGCGATAAGGCCGGGTGACCATTAGGGGAAAAGAACGCAATTATTTGAGGCTGTGACAGGATGTGTAGGCTTACGAAGGTTTGTCAAACAATGAATTAGAATTATGTTGTAAAATGAATAGTTTATTTCGCAAGGGAAAAAGCCCG